TAAAGTTTTAACTCATTTTTGAAGTGAATTTATTTAAAATGGTATCAAAATTAATTTATTAAATATACTTAATTAGATTATTACATTTATTAAATTAAAAAAAAAAGACGTGAATGCTATAATAATTTCGGTGGGTGGACGACAATTACTATAAATGGGAATGATTACCAGATGGACTAAACATTATTACGCCTCGGCACATAATATTCACGTGTAATATTTTTCTCTGTTTAATGCTAGGTTTGTTCGCTAAAAAAAAACAAAAAACATAATATTCACGTGCGTACGGATCCTTAATAAGATAAGCCCTACTACTGAATTTTGAGTGGCTGTCCTTTTTCTTTTAGTGGACCCCACTTTTTTTGGTGAACAATCAATAATGCTTCATGCTGTCACGTTACTACAGTGTGTCACTGCATGAACGTCTACGGGATCACTTTCATGGGCTTGGATCAAGACTTTTCTAAGGTATCATAAATTAAATGTTCAATAAATTAACACTTGACGTTTAAAATTAATTTATTATTTATATTAAATTATATTAGTTAATTTTTAAAAAAATTTAAAAATTACACCATTTTAAAATATAAAAAAAATAATTATAAGTAATAATAATTTCATGTATTTCAAAATTAAATTTAAACATCAGGAATCTAATATAATAGTAACCTTTTGTAATTCACTTGACACATAAAAGCAAAATAAACCCATATACTCTATTGAAATCTTGTAACAAAGATCAATTCCAACCTTTTCTTTTGGTCTCCTTTCATTTATTTGGAACCAAACAAACCCTAATTTTAACTTAGACATGATCTTCCAATTTGGGGTTCAGAGGATTTAAGGGAAGAAAAAAAAAAGTTCATAAATTAATGAAATCAAAATCTCATATTTTATTTTAGATTAAATAACTTGTATTGTCCAGTTCATGAAAAAGTGGAATCACTTGTCTTGAAAGTGGCATACAGGTTAAAAGAGAAACAGAGACAATTGTTGACTTGTTTTAAGATAGGAATGAACGAGAGAAGGGAAATGATGAGCGATTTTTTTCAGAAAAGTCGTTCGGGTTAAAAGAGAAATATAAACTATCGCCGGCTTATTCCCCAATCATGGGAATGAACAAGAGAAGAGATAGGGAGTGATCTTTTTTCAGAAAAAATGAAGGAGAGAGAACGTCGTTAAAGTATGATAAATTTTCTTTATTTCAAAACGATGCAATTTTCAAATTTTTTTTAAAAATTAATTGACGTAATTTAATACAAGCAGTAGATAAATTTTAAACGTTACGTGCCAATTTGTAAAATATAAATGTAAATATTTACAAAATATGAATGTAACTATGAATATGAATATTTACAAAAATATGAATATAAATATTTTACATTCATATTAGAAATATAAATGTAAATATTTAGAATTCAACTTATGATAATTTAGAGAATATTTAATTTAAAGGATTTAAATTTTACTTTTATTTGCTATATATATATATATATATTTGATACGGTACCAAATTAATATGGTAATATATGTGAAAGGGTAATGATACACGACCTTATCAAAGGTGGAGATTGTTTATAGTGATTTACTTTTATTATGTGATGGGCATCATTTTCATATTGAAAATTTGATTGAGGATATGACTTATTTCGATTCGAAAAATGATTTAAATCCGTGTCTGAGTACACGAGAAGGGATCAAATTGCGTTTGACATGATCGAGAGTGAACCCCACCATCACCGTCACTACCACCACAACCTATGCTAATGGAATCTCCAATACTAGGTTCAGATATCAAAGAGACATTGGTTGAATGCCTGAAATGGACATGGAGCTCTTCTATATGTGTGGTTGCCAATAACTGTCACGTGGTTGCATTTGTTGAGAACCTAATGCCCATGTGATTACATGATTTTTGTTTTTATTTTTATTTTTATTTTTGAATAAGTAACTAGATGAATTTTAACTGTGTGGGTTTTAATAAGGTTTTAATATAAGTTTATGTGGGTCAAAAAAAAAAAAAATATATATATATATATATATATAGTAAGTTTATGTTAAAAAAAAAAAAAAAAAAAAAAACATGATGACGTATCAAATAGAGTAAGTTTACTTGCTCGCATTCAGCTTGCACCCTCAACAGTGATCACATGGATATGTGACGTCAGCCTTTTCATTCAATAGTTACAAGAGCATGAACGCAGTAAGATAGATCATCATTACGATGGGTAAATTAATTGGCATTGAAATGGGGTTAGTCTGCATTAACAATTATTGCTATTTTGACAAAAATTAAAACCCTAGGCTCAAATTGTAACATTTTGGGCTTCAACTGCTCTAATGGTCTAAAACAACCCATAAACAAAGCATTGTGATCATTTTATGAAAATAAAATCTTTATAAAGACTTTTGTGAAATCTAAACAGGAGTAATAAAGCATTTCTTATAAATTATGGTTAAATGCAAAAAAAATCCTTGAACTATCGGCAATTAATCCCTTGAACTACAAAAGTTTCAACTAACCCCCTAGACTATTCAATTTTGTTACAAATGACTCCCTCCAGCAAGATTTTGACTGACAAATGGCATGTGCCATCACGTGATGCGGATGTTTAAAATAAAGGACCAAAATGCCCTTATTCACATAAAAGGACAAAAATGCCCTTACTACCATTATAACCAAACAATCCAATTTAAGCCTATAAATGGGTTATAAACGAGATGGTCAAACACACCCTTCGTCTCCATCAAACCTGTCCCCTGCAACAACAATGATCAAACCCAGCAATGATCATAGCCGAGCTCTCTGCTCGCCGGAACTAACCATCAGTATCAGTTCAGTTCACCATTCCAAGCACCGCCGCAAGCACTACCGATTCAGTTCCAAGCTCACCAGCAGTTCCTCTCACCGCTGAGCTCGGTATTGAAATTCCTACCAAAACTATCAGCTGTCCCTTGCATATACCTCAAAACCTGTGAACCATAGGACGAATTCTGACAAAAATTTTGAATTTCCTTCAAAACCATCTAATAATTTGATCATGCAAACAAAACCTATTAATCAAATACCATAATTGAAATGAGTTAAATTTAAAAAAAAAAAAAAAAGGTTCTGTAGCCAACCCAGTATTGCAACCCAATCACATAACCCAATTGCCGCCATTTTAGTGCCACCATTAAAGTTCCGCCCTCGCACTGATCAGAATCACTTCTTGTCGCCGCTGCCCATTAATTCATCACCATGTTCATTCGACGCCGGTGGGTTCCTTCCTTGCCGCTTCTGGAATCGTGACTACGAGCTGCCGCTGTCCTTGCACCGCCTGTTTGTCGGATCTGTAACAAATACAGCACCACCACCATCGTCGCCACCACAACAACACCAATAAGAACTCAGAGAATTGATGTTGAACCAAATTTTTAAACCCAATTGAACCACAACCGCCACCACCATCACTACCAAATCAAATTATCACCATCATCGCAGACACCTTGCAAAGCCTTAATCGAATGCAACGCTACCACCATCACCGATTCGGCTTGTCTGCAGAACCTAATTGAAACCTAACAACACTACCATTAGTTGCGCAACCAAACTCAGCAACGAAAAATGCTAGCCGGATTCAATGGAGATGCACAAACAATTGTGAAACCAAATTGAACCATAAACCCACTCTGCCACCACCATCACCACCAAATCAAACCATCACCATCATCACATACACCTTGCAGAGCCCTAATCGGACCCAACACCACCACCATCACCGACACATATATATTTATACATACACATACAAACATACATATATATCTATATATACACATACAGACACATATATATCTACATACACACATATAGACACATATATATCAAAAATTTTGGACTTCGAATCGATCTCACAACCCTCACTTTCTCTCTCTATAACGAACAACAACGAACCACTGTCTCTTCCGATGTATGGCTTTGCGGTTACCAATTCGGTTCCGGTGAGAATAGATCCGGCGACGGCGGATCCGGCGGAGACAAGAAGACTGCAGTGGGCAGCAGCAAATAGAGCTTGATGACAAAGGATAGTAGTGATGTGTGGACTCGGTGAGAGGAGCTTGTGTTCCACCTCCCTCCTCCGTTTCGGCTTTTTCTGGTGGTGATGGTGGGGCTTTGTCGGCGATGCCCAAGAGCGACGTCGTCGATATCAGGGATGACCAGGCTTATTGTTGTCATCATCAAGCGACAATGACTGCAAGTTCTACGACGTCGTCTGATTCGGCTTCTCTCGACATTTCATCCGAAGCCGTTGAAGAAGGAAAGGATTATAAGAAACTGCATTGTTTTATTAGAAGGGCAGTTTCGTCATTCTTCATTCCGGTGGCCTGAGTGGGCAAATTGCAATAAATTCATAGTACAGGAGGGTTTCTTGTAGTTCAAGGTTTTTTTTTTTGCATTTAATCCTATAAATTATAAGCTTTCTAAACCTATTAGATTTACATTATGATCGCAAGTGCTGTATTGCTGGTTGGGTTGCTCCCCATATTTAGGAAGCTATGTTCGAACCTTGCACCCACGGATGGACCTATGTTGTACTGACCCCCTTGATTTTATTTTTTATTTTTTTACTATTATGCCCCACTATTTTTGTCATTTTGATATATATATACTAATGAAATATTACCTTTGCCCCTCTGAAATTATTAAAAAAATTCAGTATTATCCCCCCTCTTGAGTTTTTAGGTTTGTCTGTGCTTGCACCTTCTCCATTCCCTTTAACATCCTTGTCAAGAAAAAAAAAAAAAAAATCCTTATGGGCCTTATGATTAAAGATTTGTTGGGATAAACAATAGATTGGTGTGCAGGAGCAAAGCAAGCCATTTTGACAAAATTGGACTATTTAAGTTCAAACGGCCATGTATTGGGCTCAAGCCCCTCAAAACTTAAAATGGGCTGGTTAGGAGTAGACCTTTGGGCCATAAAAAGGTGGACTTTTTGTTGGAATCTTTGGAGGAATGTTTTTGTAATTTCCGTTACTAACACGTGTTCCGGTCTGCGAGTGGCATGGAATATCTCCTCGGTCACGCCTTTTGTTTGAAGATGTAGCAATTGAGTTAGGGCTTGGGGCCTTGGTTCCAACAGCTCTGGAGTCTGGTCTGGTTCGTCTCTCTCCCAGCTCATCCACCTCTCTATGTCTATATAGACTATATAGTTATATATGCATATATGATTGTATCTACATACATATATGAATAATTTGTATCTATCTATATATATATATATATATATATATATATATATATATATATATATTAAAGAAAAACAGAAGATCAGATTATAGGATTTGTGTTTGAATTGCTGAAGAATAATTCGTAACTCTAAGTCTAACCCAGCTCCAAGATTAAACCTAGTTGATCTTGATTTGAACTTTGATACATATGATATCTGTTGTGTTTCTTAGAATATTCTCTATTTGTGTTGACTTCTTTCTGTTAAAGCAATCTGCAATTCAAATTTTGTTGCACGTTGTTTGAATTTGCTAGTTTGTTCTATATAATAATTCAATTCGCTTTTTAATTATTATATATATGCAGATAGTTTCATACCTATGAAAGGATCGCGTCACTAATAAAAATGTGAGAGAAAAATTAGGTGTAGTACCAATTGGGAGAAAATTAGAGAGAGTAGAATTAGATGGTTTGGACACATACATCGGAGACTGAGGGGTGCATGGGTCAAACGAGGAAAGTTAGTTATAATAGAAGGTAAGAGACGGAAAGGGCTACCAAAATTAACATGGAACGAGGTTATTACAAATGAATTTAAAAAGTTAAATAGTAGGTGAAATTAGATGTAATAGGAAAGATTGGGGGGAGAGAATTCATGTGGTCAACCCCATTCATATGGGATTAAGGCAAGGATGACGAAGATGGTGATAGTTTCACACCTATATATATATATATATATATATATATATATATATATATATATATAGTTTTTTGCTTTTTTTTTCAGGAATTTGCACATTGCCTTATTAATGCAAGTGTCTTGCTTAGCAACAAGCATGTAAGGCAATATATGTTCCTAGTGTCTTGATGTTGCCTTTTGCCATTAACTTCACTTGTTAAACATGACCACTAAAATATTAGGATTTGATTGCTTTTATGATGCATTTTTTATTTGCTTATGGTTGCTACTTTCTGATTAGGTATTCACAACAAATTTTGCCATGTCTTTCCAGGTGTCTTACCTTCTTTTTGAATTTATTCCACCCTCTACCTCCAGACTAGTGATAAATATCCAAAACTCAAGTTGCTCCTATGATCCTATTCTGTCATTCTATACTGTGTTATGACTAGGTAATGAAAGGTTTCTATGAGAGGACTTTTAGTGCAAAACATTCTTCTAAGAGTTCTACTGATTGCCCAAATAGAAATACGCAATCCACTTGTTCAGAGCCGGGATCTAGTAACAGTAAGCCCTCCAAGACTTCCTTATGGTCAGGGCTTTTTGCTTCTCCATTCTCAATCTTTGAAACGTACAGCGAGTCAAAAAGTTGTGGAAAGAAGGCATCCAGTTCTAGAAGCAACGGGTGGACATCAGCTGTGAAGAGAGTTTGGCATGGTGGCTCAATGAGGAAATTTCATGAGCGTGTACTAGGGATGAACAGGACTGGCATTTCTAGTTCGACCAGTGACATATGGCTTTTAGGTGTGTGCTATAAAATATCTCAGGAAGAGTCAACTGGAGATTCAGAATATACTGATGGCTTAGCTGCTTTTGTTGAAGATTTCTCATCAAGAATTTTGATGACATATCGGAAAGGTTTGTTTCAAAATGGTTGTCCCTTTTCTGGATGTATATTCTGAATTGCAAACAATAATGTTACAGATAAATTGATTGACTGTTTGACTGGTTGTTAATACTTAGGTTTTGATGCTATTGGAGATTCAAAGTATACCAGTGATGTGGGTTGGGGTTGTATGCTTCGAAGCAGTCAGATGCTTATTGCTCAGGTACAGTGCTATTTCATTTCTGCTACTTTTTTTTGTAATTACTTCAGATGATTTTCTGATGAGCATTAATTGATCGAGGTATGATTTTCGGGCTGAGCCACTGAGCTACAGTTTTTTCATCTATAAGACTGACAAAGATTGTATTTCATTTTTTTATTATTATTTTTAACAAAATTAGTTGACGAATGATTGATTATATATATACAGGCATTACTTTTTCACCGATTAGGGAGATCATGGAGAGAATCATTGCATAAGGTAACATAAATTGTGTAGAATATGATTTTCCTGTTCACCCTATCTAATTATTATGTTTTTTTAATTGCTAAAATTAGAATCTAATGAATTTGAGGCCATGATGCCTCAGTTTTCATGTAGTTGTCCAGTGGGTATGATATTATTGCTTAATTTTTAACCATGCAGCCACTGGATCGTGGTTATTTTGAGATACTGCACCTTTTTGGTGATTCTGAGGCATCAGCTTTCTCTATCCATAATCTTCTTCAAGCTGGAAAGGCTTATGACCTCGCTGCTGGATCATGGGTGGGACCATATGCCATGTGTCGCACGTGGGAAACTCTAGTACGCTGTAAGAGAGAGGAAACTGAGCTTGACCAGTCATTGCCGATGGCTGTTTATGTTGTTTCTGGTCATGAAGATGGGGAGAGGGGTGGAGCTCCGGTTGTTTACATTGATGATGCCTCTAGACACTGTTTTGAGTTTTCTAGAGGCCAAGTTGATTGGACGCCTATTCTTTTGTTGGTTCCTTTGGTTCTAGGACTTAACAAAATTAATCCCAGGTATGTAATCTTTTGATGCTTGTCTATAGCATGGTAGTCCTTGTTATTGACCAAAGTTCATGTTCCTTGGAAATTTATGGAAGTTCTGTAACTTAGTTTGGGAAAACTATTCTCCCCAGAAATAAAAATATATATATATTTGAAGACGTAGTTGTGGCATTGGAGATAAATGTGCTACTATGCTAATGTTGCTAGGTGGCCTTTTGAACTTTGTGTGCATTGTGGACTGTTTTATGTAGAACACATTCTTGGTTAATCAAGAAAAGGAAAAGACCAACATTGACCAAAACTGATAGGAGCAGCAAGGTTCTGAAAGGATTTTGAGAAATGGTACTGATGAACCAAACTCCCTTATTTTATTGGAACTAATTTGATGATTCATCTACCTTATTTTATTGGAACCAATTAGATGATTCATGATTGCTGTCAAAGAAAAAAGTCTTATTAGTAGCTTGAGTTGGATATTGATGTTCTTTGAAAACTTTGACTTTCTATTCATGAGAAATTCTTATTAATAGCTAGAGTTTGAGTCTTGATTAGAAACTTTAATTTGAACACACACACAAACACACACAAAAAAAAAAAGGACAAAAATAAGGGGGTTTCCCATTGTCATTCATAAGCTAAAGCAGTGGAAAACTTGCCATGAAGCTTTTCTAGAAACCCCACATTTGGTCTATGTTGACTTTCTTGGATTTCACAATAGCTGATGGGATTTTCACATGGATTGATCTACTAAACAAAATTTGGCAAAGCCCATGTACTTATTATTTAGGTTGAGTTGTGGCTTTGCCCTGGCCATGCAAAACATATATCTGAACTTTTTCCTCCATATCTTATATCATGTCCAGCTTTCTCTGATGCTTGTCCATCCAGTAGATTCAACGTGTCTTGGTGGAGCAGTTATTAGTTTCGTTATAGTTGAAAAACTCTCTCAATCCATCGTCTCCAATCTTGTCCAAAATATGTGGAGCTTCCAACTTCTTATGGATAAGTTCATTGCATTTATTTTTTTGGGTTACCACTGTCAGCCATGCCAACATCCATATTCCAGCTAACAACAATCTTATCCTATGAAAATGTTTCTTTGCTACTCCAAGTTCTTGGTTTTATGGTGTTTAATAGAATTTTTCCTTCAACCTGATAAGTTTATGCTGCATGTTACCTGGTTTTTCATGATAATTTCTTCAAACACAGTGTGGACAAATGAAGTTTGCTGATTTTTTTAATAAAAATTATATAAAGAGAATATAGGGAGAGAAGAGAGAAAGATGGGAGGGGCACTCATTACGTCTTTCATGGTCACAATAAAAGAAGAGGGAGAAAAAATGGAGACGAGAATGGAGGAGGGGATGGTGCCGAATTGACTTCCTTCCCTTCACAAACACAAACAAAGAGATTTAGATTAGAAAAAGGAAGAAGATAGAGAGGGGGGTGTAAAAAATCCTCAAATCTCTTCCAAAGATATTTTCATTTAAAGCATTAGTTGTTTCTTTGGGATAATCCTGTTATTTCACCTTTAGGAAAATGAAACCTAAAAGTAAGTCAAATTTGCCTAAAATTTTTCCCTCTGCAAGTTTCTTACTTATATGTTTTTGTAGAACTAATGTCTTAATTTCTTGTCAGGTATGTTTCATTGTTACAGGCAACATTCACCTTTCCCCAGAGCCTTGGCATCTTGGGTGGTAGACCTGGTGCTTCGACGTACATTGTTGGCGTGCAAGATGAAGAAGCATTTTACCTTGATCCACATGAAGCTCAGCCGGTACAGTATAATCCTAATTGGGTTGTCCATATTACTTGCTTCCTTATATTATATTAACATTTTCAGATGGTGATAACTACATAAAAATTGCATCCATGTCATTATCAATTGACTTGCTTAATGCTGACAAATGTTCAAAAAAGCCAGATGGCCCACACTATTTACCCAGATTATAGTTTTTCTGGTCTTCATATCTTAAACATGGAAAAACCAATCTGTGGAGGTTTGAACATTTAGAAATAGTAGCTTAATTGAACCACTTAAGTTAGGTATTATGACCGAGTAGTGTCATATGTTCATCTCACCCTTCTACGAATTGTATCTCCATCGCTTGGTTTCCAACTTCCTCTTGCGGTTATAAACTTAGTATGAATATTGATGTGTGCTCATTGCTAATCTGGTCAAATGTGGGGACTATGGGAGATTTATTTTTTCTCTTTCCTGGAAAGTTGGGGAAACTTATGTATGCTGGCATCCTTTCTCTTTTAAGAGGGTAACAAGGTAGAAAATTCCTGTCCTAACCCAAGACAAGTCTACTTTCTGTTGGATACCCAGATTGGCCGATTCTGAAGCAGTTTTTTTGAGGCTGAAATGGTGGTTTTGATGTTAGATTCTTAGGGAATGCCTTCCTACTTTTGTTATTATATATAAATATATATTTTTTGTTTTTTTTTTAATCCTTTCCTCCACACGTGAAGTGGAGCATAATCTTTGTATGCTGCTGCCTGGCTGGGGATCTCGACTACTATAATTTTCCCTTTCCCTGCTTGCACAACAGATTGAATGCGATTATTTATGAGCAACAGAGAAAATGTACTTTTATGATGCCTTATTTTACCGCTCCAGTACAGCCAAACAACAACAACTAAGCCTTTTTTTCCAACTACTTGGGGTCAGCTACATGAATCCTATGTTTCTATTCCACTTTATTTAATGCCAAAGCCTCATTCAATCCACATGCTATCATATCCTTATTAACTCTACCAACGTTAACTTTGGTCTTCCTCTTCCCCTAGTATTACCCTCAATGTGGACTATGTCACATTTCTTAACTGGCACACTTAAATGTCTTCTTTGCACATGTCAAAACCATCTTAACCAATTTTCTCTCATTTTATCTCCAATCTGTACTACAACTATCTTCCGAAAGTGATAATTTCTAATTCTATCCTTTCTAATCTTATTACACATCCATCTCAACATTCGCATTATAGCTTCAGTATAAACACCAAGGAAAAATCATTTTGGACCTCTAGTAATAAATTAACATCCGTAGAACAATTTAAGTTTTAAACAAGTTGTGCTTAATGTTCTCTATCAATAAAATTTAACCTTACCTAGGAAAGAAAAAAAAAAACAAGTTAGTATATCGAAGTTCGAACAAGTTATGCATATTTTAAAAATGAAATGTACTATGATTTATTGCAAATCCATGGGAGGGAGGAATATGTAACAGTAGAAATACAATATAGAAGAAAAATGAGAGAATTGTGTAAAAGGCTTGAATGAGACAATCACTCATTTACAACTCTAATATTTATAGATAAAAAAAGCACATGCTCATATTACAAGAAATGAAATTAAATCAAATATAAATCAAATCACAGCATATTCTAAAGCATAATCAAATATCTACTAATATGGTAAGTCATTCCATAAATCGTGGCTATCATATTTGCTAACACTCCCCTTGAAGTTGGTGTGTGGATATTCGAAACGTCCAACTTGGACAATGCATTCTTAAACACAATCTTGCTGATGCCCTCTGTAAGAATTTCTGCAAGCTGCTAAGATCTTGTGACAAATAGAGTGCAAATCTGACTAGCGATGATTTTCTCTCAAATGAAGTGCCGATCAACAAATCAAAAATGTCTCCTCAGACCATAAACAATTAACAATGTTTCTCAGACCGTAAACAACCAACAATGTCTCCTCAGACCATTTCCCTTTCACATGTTTAAAATATATAGATGAAAGAATCAACAATGTCTCCTCAGACCATAAAAAAAAAAAAAAAAAAAACCATGTATCCTCGGACCATTTTTGAATGAGTGGTGTCAAACTCGCAACGCCCTCATTGAGGTCGGACCGCCCTACTTACTCGACACCTCCCAGATGGGCGATGTCACCTTAGACCATTCCCGAATAGGTGGTGCCGAACTCGCAATGCCTTCCTTATAGTTGAACCACCCTGCCTAATTGACACCTCCGGGATGGGCAATGTCAACTTAGACCATTCCCGAATGGGTGGTGCCGAACTCGTAATGCCCTCATTGCAGTTGGACCACTCTGGTACTGATACCAAGTAGAAATACAATATAGAAGAAAAATGAGAGAATTGTATAAAGGCTTGAATGAGATAATTACTCATTCACAACTCTAGTATTTATAGATAAAAAAAGTACATGCTCATATTATAAGAAACGAAATTAAATCAAATAATAGCATATTCTAATGCATATTCTATAGCATAATCAAATCTCTACTAATATGGTAAGTTATTCCATAAATCGTGGCTATCATATCTGCTAACAATAACCGCTTTGGATTTAGGTTTATCAGCTTCAAACTAATACCACACTTAGTTTACGTAATTTGTGTTGATAGGTGGTAGATTTGTAGACAATTCACCAGACTGGAATGTTAAAAAGGACTTCATATTTCATTCCATGGAACATTGATGCTTTGAAACCATTTTGAACATTAAGCTTGTATTATTATTGGCATTCTATCCTGGTCCACTCTGCCCTGCTCTCTATCACTTAGGTGGTGTTGGATAAAACTGAAAATTAAATACTAAAAATTCTAATAACTGAATTTTAAGTGATGAAGTTCTTAAGGGGTAATTAAAAAATAAATAATTTTTTGATATCTTTTTGAATTTTCAACGTTCAACATTTTCCCTGTCGCATAAAATTTTACCCCATTTTAAGTGGGGCTTATCGTTTTTAATGATATTCAAATTGTGTTATCAAACGCATTTAATTGGACAAGCGCTTAATCCGTTCAAAATTAAGCGTTAAATTGAGTTATCAAACACCACCTTATTGTGTGAGAAACTGGTTTGGTTTAGTATTGTAGTTCCCTCATCTATTTGCAGATTGTGGTACCTTAGTGTTACGGGGTTTGGACCTTGATAAGTCCCCTGACAGCCATGGGATGCTGTCAGCGTGCACTTGGGGTGCCCAGTGGCATTTTCATAAAATGGCGAAAAGTGAAATTTGGAGTTTTGGCTCGGCAACTTTATGTGAGGTACCTTGAGACCATAGAAGATGGTTGGCGCAGACGACACTCAATTTGGATGTCGGGAAGGGTCGGGAAGGCCATTATGACTCCTCAAACATAGGTGATGTTTACCAGGGGTGGCAAATGGGCGGGTTGGGCCGGGTTTGAGTTGGGTTGAAATGGGTGGGTCAACATGGGTTAAGATCCATATTCAACCCGTTCAGAACGGGTTGAAAATGGGCAGGATCAACCCGTTATGACTTGTGGACCCATTAATTATTATTTTTTTTATTTTTATTTTTAATTATTTTTGTTAAATGTTAACATGATTTAATATATATTATATGTTTGATTATTTATCATGTGTGTCTTAAGAAAACGCAACTTAATTATTTCAAAAATAAAATAAAACTTAACTGTGGAGGTAATATGCATTTATATTGAGAGGTACAAGTACAACGCATTACATTAGAGTGCCGCATGAATCTTTGATCTAATATATTTGGGTTATTAGTTTACAATTAATGCAAAGAACTTGTGTTCCATGTCCCTTAGGCCTTAGTACAGTATCTCATTCTTGTAGATAGATGATGGAAACTTTGCCTTACTGGTGTGTATGAGAGTTTTTGTTATTAGTTTATAATTTGTTTAGATAAAAATTCATAGTGAAAGATATAAAATGAAAGTAAATAAATGTTTGAACATGCATTTGATTAGCATTAAAAATTTAAAGAAAGATACAAAAATTTTTTATTCTATGGATTGAAATGTACGAAACTTATAAGAAAAAAGAAGAAGGTATTATTATTGTAAAAAAATTCAAAAAATCTAAATTATCTTATTTATTTATTTTAAAAATAACTAACGAAAATTTAATTAGTTATAAAAATTATTATTAAAAACTTAATTTCCTCCTATCTAAACTCTTGAAATGTCGGACATTACCCAGTGTCTTTGGTAGAGTGTACAAAATTAAAAAAAAAAAAAAAAACCTATGAAATGTGTAAAATTGTAATATCATATTCAATTATTTATATTTTTGGTGACACCAAAAGAAAGGTTGAGGTAATAAATAACGTGAGAGGGCAGAGGAGTAGGAGGAAAGTGGGAACCCAACACTATAATAGTAATTTTTTTTAAAAATTTTATTTATTTATTTTATTAATTTTTTGATTAATTTTTAATTTTTATTATTTTTTAAAATTTTTAATTATTTTTTATTTTAAAATTATTTTTTTTCTGAAGCTTTTAAAATTTTTTATTTTTTAAAATTTTTAAAATTATTTTTTAATTATTTATTTTTTTTAGAAGAAGTTTTTAAAGAGAGAAACTTAAAGAGAGGGGATTGATAAGAGACAAATTTAGAGAGAGAGGATTGTGAGAAAGAATTTTAGAGAGAGAAATGAGTTGAGTGTAATATAGAATAGATGTTTGTTGTGTGTTTATTATGTGAAGGGTGAAATATGGGTTGAATCTTGACCCTTAAATTAAGTGATTAAAAATTACCCAACCTATCTTGCCCCTCAAATTAAATATGGTTCAACCATAACCATTAAAAGACAGGCGGATATGGGCGGGTTGATGGTTCCTGACCCATTTTGCCACCCCTAATGTTTATTACTGTCAGAGTGCTGATATCCCTAAGGACTATACTAGGTAGGGGTCGTTGGAGCACATCAGTTGGGCTATGGCATGGCGTGCTTAGAGGGCTTAGTCAACGTGCATGGGTACATGTTGCACCACTCCAAGATGGTTGCACAAGAGGGGAGCATCAAAAATACCAAAGGGCAAACAAGCGTGTAGCGGAGCACGCAGGCGTTCAGGTGCGCGCGCGCATATAAGCATCAGTGCACGTGGGCGTGCAAGCACGCCCGCACAGAGGCATCAGCACGCGTGCAGAGACATCACGCACATACAGAGAGGCAGCGCGCAACAGAGTGCGCGCACGGGCGTGCAGAGCTTGGTATGCCGTGCACTCAGAGACATATGTGGGTGCCGATTAGTGGGCTTGGCACTGGCTAGGTTCGCAAGGTTGGCTCAGATGTTACTTAAAGCATAGACCACACAAGTCATGGACGTGTGGCATAGTCAAGTCAGGGATATGGGCACAAGGCAATGGGCGTAAGCAAGGCCCAATATGTAAGGTTGGCTCAGGGGACTTAGACATGGCTTATGGTTACAGAAGATGGCTAAGTGGGGGGCAATTACTAGCACTTCCCACTCATGTGCATATATCATGGGGAGTGGGGGTGTGCTGAGTAACTTCCCATGCATGTGGCATAATTCTGAGGGGACAACACACAGGTGGTTGGGGGTCGGTTTTCCTCCACTATGCTGATATATAGAGTTATATAAATATGTGGCAGATGATGGGCAACTTCCTGTGGACAGGTGGCATGAGCAGAGCGTGCCAGCAAGCTAGCAGTTGGGCTTGTCAACTGCATATGTAGTGATGACACACTTAAGGGGTGCCAACACGACCCTAGGTGGATAGGGGTGTCATCCACCACTTTTGTGGGCTGTTGTGGGCGGTTTTGAGAGTTTGCCTATATATAGCTAATGTGGGTTCTGTAGAGAGGGCAGATTGAGAGTGAGACACAGAGTAGTGTTGTGAGAGACTCTTGTATGCTTTTGCAGGTTGAGACGTTTCCTTGTACTGTTTTGTGAATAACAGTAAAAGTTTGGAAACCTTGGGCTTCTGTAAATTCGTGGGTGTTCTTATCCTTACATTCTTGTAACTATACTTGTGTGTGAGAGTGTTTTACTTGCTATGTGTCCTAGGCAGCAAATGTGAGTTGGCTGAGCTAAGTTAAAAATTCAGAGAAAAGTTGTTCATATTTCTGGCTTAGTGCATTCACAGGCTACTCGATTCGTATTCAGAATTGACCCCTGTGACGCTTAGCATGATGCACTTAACATACTTGGTATTTAACTTGTGGTAGAGAACTCTTTTTTTTTTTTTTTTTTAATATATATATATATATATATTGAACTGACAAGATTTTGTTTCATTGTCAGTTATAAGCAATCAACTATCACCTATAGATCACATGCAATCTGGTGAACCTCGAAATACTTCAATTGAGAGGGATTAGAGGTTTAAAACTTGGGAAAAGAGATTTAACAGGACTTGGGTACTTCTATTGCTTGGCAATAGTGGGAAAGAAGAAAAGAGAATAAGTGAAAGGCAATCTTTAAAATGTTATTAAATATGTTTTGGTCCCTGTATAATGACATCAATGGATACGTTGATGTTGTACTAAAAAACAGCCACTCAAACCTTTTAAGGCTTCCCGAAAGATCAAAGTAAACTTTTTATTGCATTACAAAATTAATGAGATGTTGGTTATCTTAAACAGAATCCTAGTATTGTTCCGTGTCAAAAACAAAAATCCATAATAATTCTCAATCATATGTGCTTACGTAGAGAATGGCAAGTCCAGAATGTTGCTTTTGCAATCCTAGTATTGTTCCAAATATTGTGTTTTTTGTTTTTTGTTTTGTTTTGTTTTTTTTTGTTTTTTTTTGTTTTTTTTTTTCTGTTTTTTGAAATACCTTTTTGTCCTTTGTAGTTTATTCCTGCTATTTTCTTGTGAAATTTGGCAAGCCTGTCTATTTTCCAGCAAATATATATACATACACATATTTAACCAACACAGTAACTTATTGATCGTTTAACACCAGTCAGCATTTGCAAGTCATTCTTCTTGTTTCATTTGTTCTCTTTAGTTGTTCTTGTCTAGGAATGTGCTTCTAATTTTTTGGTCTTCACTGTTATGTGACTTTTAATATTTAATTTATGTTGGCTGTGTCTTTTAATACATGATCTTAATGTTGGACATTCATTATTCTGGTATTAATATTTTTTATTTGTATTGCCCTTTTTTTTTTTTTGTACATGATTGCAGTCATGAGTGACAGTACATTATCTAAATGCTGGTGGATTATCAGGTAGTTGATGTTAGGAGGGATAATCTTGAGGCTGATACTTCCTCTTACCACTGCAAGTACGTTCCGAGACTGATTTGCTTTGTTGTTTTGTATTGTTCTGTTTTTTCTTCTCTTTGTTCTGCTCTGTTTTCTTTTATTTGTGTTTTTTCCCTTATCTTTGACACAATTGTTCCAGTGTCGCACGTCATGTTTCCCTTGACTCACTTGATCCATCCTTGGCAATTGGATTTTATTGCCGAGACAAAGGTACGCTGGCTGCATGTGACTAGATGTCATGAATTAATTAACCAAAGCTATGGATTAAAACTCTTGTTGATCTCAAATGTTTTGTTTTGGTTTACAGATGATTTTAGTGATTTTTGTAGCCGGGCTTCCAAGCTAGCGGATCAATCAAATGACGCACCATTATTTACCGTTACCCACACCCGGAATACGTCAAATCCCACCAGTCACCATGGCACTTTGAGTGATGGCGGTGGGGTACATGACACCGAAGGCTGTTCACAAGAGGATGATTGGCAACTTCTTTGACTTATTCTTTTGGTTTGAAGGCACGACATTAAGCTTGTATATAATTCGCTCAGCCGTTAATTTATTTGTATACCCAACTCCACAGTGCCTCTGATAGCCACAATTTCAATGATCTCCTTTGTGTCTGTTAATTATTGTTAGTTAGAATCAGTGTACGATTTTCTTTTCTTTTCTTTCCTGTGTCTTTCCATTCTTCTTGTTCATATAATGGACAAAGTCAATGTAATGCCATCCATTCATTATCTATTTCATTGTTCCTATACCATTTCTTATCTTTGGAGATTGTGGAAGACCCTTTTGAACCTTCTCGGGAAGCTGGATTCACATGCTGTTGGTAAAAGTTTCTATGTGGGCCTTCTCAGGTGAGCTTGTGTCATCAATTTTCTATGTGGGCCTTCTCAGGTGTGCTTGTGTCATCAGTAGTCTATGTGGGCCTTCTCAGGTGAGGTTTGTTTGTATCATATCCAGCGGCCCAAGTTTACTTGAGACAGATATCGGGTGAGCTAAGCATACCAAGTCAGCTTGTGTCATCAATTGTCTATGTGGGCCTTCTCAGGTGTACTTGTGTCATCAGTATTCTATGTGGCTCTATGTGGGCCTTCTCAGGTGAGGTTTGTATCGTATCTGGCGGCCCAAGTTTATTTAAGAAGATATCGGGTGAGCTAAGGTTTGTATCGTATCCGGCGGCCCAAGTTTATTTAAGAAGATATCGGGTGAGCTAAGCATACCAAGTCGTTGTATGCTCACACAAGCATAATACACCTCTCAAATTAGTTTAGGGATGTCTTTTAATTGAGTGGAATTCTTTTCATTGAATGATATATTAATTTCTGTTGTTAGTTTGCATAGAAAACTTATTTTCAATTTAAGCTTCACTTTTCCAACCCAAATTTACATTATTGTATCAAGTAATAATCGTAGAAGTATTTGAAAGTCTCAATAATCTAATTTCCCAATTTTATATACCTCTAACCTTGTTTTGGTTTTATCTAGGCCAACATATAATTTTTTTACATTTTGATGTTTAACACTTTAAATTTGAAACTGTAAATTAATATATAACTTAGATAAGTAGGTTCACAAATAACAAAAGAAAGACTAGTTACAGTAGGAATGTTAGAGACAAACAAAAAAAAATTTCTAACATGACATGAGATAATAAGAAAAGATCTGTAAGAAATTCGATATAAAAAGTGGAAGAAAGATTCATGACCATGTCAATTAATTGACATCCTGTCGTAAAATTCAATTAAATTTGTTATATTGCTGCACTTACATTGAGTACGCATGCAGGGATGAGCTAGAAAATTGTGTGAGGAGGGAAGTTGTGTAATTTTTAAAAATAATTTTAGTGGGGGTGGTGGTGTAATTTTACAAGTATTCAATCACACATGTAAATTAATAGAGTATATTGCTAACAAAAAAAACAGGCGGCAATTACCCCCACTGATTTCTTGTTACAAGGTGATATTTATCCTATATCGAATCCGGATGAAAAAGTGATTGCGTATAAATGGATGGGTATATAACATTATCTAATAATTTGAGTTTTTGACTAAAAGGACAAGTGACCACCTGTTACAGTTGGTATCAGAATTAGGTTCAAGCACTCGACCTGGAAGGTGTCTGGGTGAGCCATCCCGGGTAAGGCAGGATGACCCGACCGCAAAGAGGGCATTGCGAGTTTGGGTGGGAGAGAATGTTACAAAGGCATATTTATCTTTCTTCGGATTAGGATGGGAAAGTGATTGTAACATATTTGCCCTTCATCAGATTCGGATGGAATAGTGATTGGGTATAGTTTGAGTTTAACTTGAACAATTTTTAAATAAATGAATAAACGCTCACTTAATATATATATATATATATATATATATATATATATATATATTAGTCAATGCGGTTCCATAGTATTTCAAATCAAGTTAGTCTTAATATTAAAATATGTTTATTGAACAACTAATTAATTTAAAAAAAAACTTTGAGGTGTCACAGTTATTGCATGATTCATTGCATGAGGTTTCACGTCAACCAAAGCGAATAGCATAAATATAAATTTATGGGTTTGAAACACCAAAACAATATTATAACGTTAGCGTTAGTTGAATTTTTTACCAATTAATTAATGAGGGTTTATTAGTTATGACCTTTCAATAATAAATAAGCAAATCTCAAATAAATAAATAAGAGCGTTACCAAAACAAACAGAAATAAAAAGAAATGTCCAGACAGTTGAATGCGATCCAGCTGCTTTGCCACGTCAGCAACACTGGGGTACTCTCCTCGTAGTTCGCGATCGTGTCATTTACATTTGCATTTCACACAGTTCACACACAAAGTGTAGAGAGAGGGAGAGAGAGCAGAGTGAGTCAAAAACAAAACAGAGCTTGAAAGCCTGACTCATCATACAGTACGACTCATGGGCATGGCCAAACAACAACACGAAAAGTCTTAAGATTCAAAAGAGGGCTTAGCATGAGAACACCACATTTTCAATCTCAGCCGTTTGATCTCTGACCCCTTCCCCCACTTTGATTTCTACAATACAATAAATCTCTGCATCGTCATTCAATCCGACCTTTCACAGTCTCTCTCTCTCTCTCTCTTTCTCCGCTTCCTCAAAAGGAGCTACCTTTTTCTCTCTCTTCACTCCACTTTCTCTCCAGATTTTGCTTTCTGGGGTATCTTCAAGATTTTGCCTAGGTGGGTTTCTATGGTTTTGCTGGATTGAAGGTTTGGGATTCAAAAAAAAAAATCAAATGGGTATATTGCTTCTTCTTCTTTTATTATTCTCTGCTGCGTCTGCTGTTGATGAAGGTGAGCCCTTTTCTTCCTCTTTTTGCTTCCATTAAGTATATTTATGTGTGCATTTTTGTGGGTATTCATTTTTTGTTCAAACTTTGTTTTGTTCCTTGTGAAATTTGTTGCACATATACATATTTGTTTTGAATGCCTCTGCTTACTCCCTTTCATTGATGTCTTCTGCTTTGTGGTTTGTATCTACACTTTTAAAATTTTCATGTCCTTGTTGAAACTGAGCTGTTCTTGTGATTTATCTGTGTTGCTTATGGAGTATTGTGAATAATCTGGAACTAGAGTGGATTTAGGGCATATTTATTTCTAGGTATTGGTTTAAAATTTCTGAATCCTCTTTTCACATTAGTCTACTTGTTTGTAAATATTCTTTGTCATTTATCACTATTCTGCCCCTCTTTCGTGGATTGAACAAAAATAAGATTTTGTTTGGGCTATTAAGTTTAGGAAGATGGCAAGTATGACCAAGATAAAAAGGGCAAAGGAGACTGTTTAGAGTTTGAAAGTCATACTTTTGCTTTACCTTAATACAGGTTCTGTGTCCATTGAAAGAGAGAGAGAATCACCTTTTCTTCTCCTTGGCACTCTTTTCTGTTCTTACCAAAGCAGGGGTCTGTGTGGTAAATTCATTTCCCTCTGTTGAAATTCTCCAATCTGTCCTCAAGTGTGGCACAGCTCAGATTGCTTTCCTTTTTACATATAAACATACAAAACCACAGAAAAATATTCGAGGGTTCAATCAAGTCACTTTGAAGGGTATTGTTGTCATTCTAGTTTACATACTAACATGATGTCCATTTCAACAACAATATTATATGCAAAAGCCCATCATTTATGAGAACTGGTTCGTGCATGTTACACAGATAGATCTAATTGTCAGGGAGTTTTGAAGTATAAATCAGTTTAAATATAATAGGATATCATCCTGTGTCATCTCTGCAGAGTTATTTTATGGAATATTAAAATATAAAATACTAGAGCAATTAATTAGAAAAACTTAATAATGCAGTGGTGGCCCATCAAACATGACTAATTGTCTTGTCATATTCCTTAATTTAGAACTTTTGATGCTTTAGAAGTGTATAGTGGGCCATTTTCTAACACGCGCGCACGCACACACACACACAAACTCTCTCTCACACACACATACTCCTGTCCACACACACACAAAAAGTAAAAAGAGAAAAAAAAAAGAACAAACAAAGAATAGTTCCTTTCTCTGTAATAGAAAAATGATCCTCCGAAAATGACCTTGAAAAATTTCACAGATCAACACAAGGCAGCTATGTAATCATGTAGCAAGGGAAGGCCCATAACATATAGACCCAACCTATGAGAATGTGCAGGCCAAAAGCTAGGACCAAACCGGTAATAATTTTCATTTGCAGCTACATATACCAGCTTTATATGTATCTTGCTTGCCACGTACTGTTCTGATCTTCACTCTGGAACTCATGTTCATTAATATCATGCCTGAGGACTGATTGAGTAATTACACTCTAAGTTTTGTCTTTGGGTTGATAGTAATGAAAACTAGCTACAAAGGAACAATATTGATGTCATCGAGTGGCCTTTCTTATGGTGCACAACTAATATGCTAGGTTATGTATGTGGAATACTACACACACATGTAGGGAATACGGAAACCATATTTATATGGCCTAGATTCCAAGATCTTGCAGTTTGTTGGATTTTCCCTCTTCCCCGCTTTAGTTGACACAAATGGCCATACAACTATTTTGATTGTATCATTTTGTATGTCTTGACAACAGAGGAATAAAGATAACACAACCCAGATTTTAAGAGATGTTAATTATTGTCCTCCAACAAGACCACTTCAAAAAGAAGGCAAACAATGATATGACTGAGTTATATAATTTCTCTGGTCTCCTCTGTGATAATCGGATTTGTTACCAAAAAAAAAAAAATTTCGTCATGAACTTACTATCACTTAATTCCCATATACAGTGAACTTACTATCACTTAATAGCCATTATGTTTCCCTTAATTACTGCTGTTAGCATAAGGTTGGTAGTCATGATACTAAACATCCGTCATGAATGTTCTGAACATAAAAAAACTCAGGTGGAGGTTGTGCTTGTGGCAATATGGTACTTTAATTGAACTAGTCTAGTTGATCTGTTTATGATTGGTTCATAGTGTGGTATGTGTATTGTTAAAGGAACTTATTATTCTACATCTCTACCTAAGCATAGTTCCTCTTCCTTACTTTGTATGTCTTGACAACAAAGGAATAAAGATAACACAACCCAGCTTTTGAGAGATGTTAATTATTGTCCCCCACCAAAACCACTTCAAAAAGAAGGCAAACAATGATATGACTGAGTTATATAATTTCTCGTCTCCTCTGTGATAATCAGATTTGTTATAATTGTCCTCCACCAAAACCACTTCAAAAAGAAGGCAAACAATGATATGACTGAGTTATATAATTTCTCTGGTCTCCTCTGTGATAATCAGATTTGTTATAATTGTCCTCCACCAAAACCACTTCAAAAAGAAGGCAAACAATGATATGACTGAGTTATATAATTTCTCTGGTCTCCTCTGTGATTATCAGATTTGTTATAAAAAAAAAAATCGTCATGAACTTACTATCACTTAATTCCCATATACAGTGAACTTACTATCACTTAATAGCCATTATGCTTCCCTTAATTACTGCTGTTAGCATAAGGTTGGTAGTCATGATGCTAAACATTCGTCATAAGGTTGGTAGTCATGATGTTCTGAACATAAAAAAACTCAGGTGGACGTTGTGCTTGTGGCAATATGGTACTTTTACTGAACTAGTCTGATTGATCTGTTTCTGCCTAAAGGTCTTATGATCGGTTCATAGTGTGGTATGTGTATTGTTAAAGGAACTTATTATTCTACATCTCTACCTAAGCATAGTTCCTCTTCCTTGCTTTTTCAATTTTGGATTGGTGTAGTCGTCTTTAGTTTGGAATAAAAATGTGCAGAGTTTGCATATTCCTTTTCAGAATTGCAAGTAAATTCAGTGTGTCTCAGTTTTTTCCTTATGCCAAATTTGTCTGCCCATAATGGCAGCACTGTCTACCAAAGGAATTATTCCCTTAAAGAAACTAAGCTATTTGTGGCAGTTTACTTGGTCAACAAACAGGGTTATAATGTATTTACTTATCAAAAAAAAAATGTATTTACTGTTTTCCACTAACAAGTTGCCATGGTTTCCTTTTCTGCAGACGCTTTCATTGGTGTCAACATAGGCACAGATCTCTCTGACATGCCAAGCCCAACTCAAGTGGTGGCCCTTCTCAAGGCCCAGCAAATTCGACACATCAGGCTATATGACGCTGATCGAGCCATGCTACTTGCACTCGCTAACACTGGAATCCGTGTGACTGTTTCTGTTCCGAATGACCAACTACTAGGCATTGGCCAGTCCAATGCCACTGCAGCCAACTGGGTTGCTCGCAATGTTTTGGCCCATGTACCTGCTACCAACATAACCGCCATAGCTGTTGGGTCGGAAGTCCTCACCGCACTCTCAAATGCTGCTCCAATCCTTGTTTCTGCACTGAAATTCATCCACTCTGCTCTTGTTGCTTCTAATCTCGATTCCCAAATAAAAGTTTCCACCCCACATTCTTCTTCAATTATCCTCGATTCCTTCCCACCTTCCCAAGCTTTTTTCAACCGCTCCTGGGACCCAGTCATGGTTCCTTTGCTCAAATTTCTGCAGTCCACTGGGTCATATCTTATGCTCAATGTGTACCCTTATTATGATTACATGCAATCAAATCATGCAATCCCCTTGGACTATGCACTCTTCAGACCTCTTCCTCCAAACAAGGAGGCAGTGGATACTAACACGCTCCTGCACTACACTAATGTCTTTGATGCTGTTGTTGATGCTGCTTATTTTGCAATGTCCTATTTAAACTTCACTAATATCCCCATCGTAGTGACTGAGTCAGGCTGGCCTTCCAAGGGTGATTCATCTGAGCCAGATGCCACTCTTGACAATGCTAACACTTACAACAGCAACCTCATTAGGCATGTTCTTAACAACACAGGGACTCCGAAACACCCTGGGATTGCAGTGAGTACCTACATTTATGAGCTCTACAATGAAGATTTGGCATCGGGTTCAGTTTCAGAGAAGAACTGGGGGCTTTTTGATGCCAATGGGGTGCCGGTTTATATCCTACACTTGACAGGTTCTGGGACAGTGTTGGCAAATGACACAACAAACCAAACCTATTGTGTCGCAAGGGATGCCGCTGACCGAAAGATGCTTCAGGCAGCCTTGGATTGGGCATGTGGACCTGGGAAAGTAGATTGTAAACCTTTGTTGCAGGGACAGCCATGTTATGAACCGGATACTGTGGTTGCACATGCAACATATGCTTTCGATGCTTATTATCACAGGATGGCTATGGCTGAAGGGACCTGTGACTTCAATGGAGTGGCTACCATCACTACCTCAGACCCAAGTATGGAGTCATGAATATGGTGCTTTTTAGAATTGCATCACATATTTACGTAGTTGGATTATTTGTGAGTGTCGTCGATGAGCCAATCTTTCTGCTAAAACTGTGCTGATAATGAGGAAAGCTACCACACTTCCACAATCCAAAATACATGGGTGACATAATTTAGTAAGATGTGTCATAGAGCTATTACTATTTATTGGATATGGAGGTGTGGTGACTCCTGCATGAAATGCAAATTAATTAACAGAAAATCAGGAAAGCAATCACAAAATTGCCAAATATATTAAGACAGCTGACTAGGAAAAAGAGGAAGTAATAACTTCATCTTTAAACTTATTGAGAAAGATGGGAAATTTGAATTTTGCTAAGCTTTTGAAAAATTTGGTTGTCCAGTGTATGTTACCTTTTCTTTTGTTGTAGATGCACGCTATTTCTTTGTTGCTCTAGATTTGGTCCCATCTATAGAGTAACTTAAGTTTGGTTCATTGTTGCAGGTCATGGTTCATGTATATTTCCAGGAAGGTATGGATTAGAAATCTTTTCAATGTAAATTTTGATTATCTGCATTAATTGTATCTGGTATATATATTGGTATTTTCACTTGTAATAGTCCTAAATTCAAACTTAACAATTCTACACGAGAAATCTGAGGACTTTCGATAATCTGCTGAAGTTTGTTACGTTCTGCTTCTTGTTTTATGTAGTAGTGGGAAAAATGGCACCTTCATAAACGGCACATCTCTGGCTCCATCTTCGAATTCCTCAAGTACTTCTGACAGCCTTCCGCAATATTTTTATGGTGATGGTGCTTTTACCAGCTCTGCGATCATTGGTGCTTTACTTTGGAGTGCAGTTTTCTTGTGATGTTTTGAATCTGTGCAACTTTTTAACTGCTTTGGAATCCTTTGAAACATCTGGTTTCACTTCCTTTGAAAAAGTTCCAGCATACCCAATTTTGTTCCTCCAGAAAGGAGGGTCCGGGGTTGCAGGGTTGCTTGCTCGTACAGCCGGCAAGTAGAATTGTGAGTTGAGTAGTCAATTGGATTTTGTACAAACAAAATGAAGGGCACCATTGGTAATTGTCTTGTTGAGGTAGATTTGTATTTCTACTAAAGTTAGTTATTCTTTGGAATTGAATTTGTGAAGCTTGGCAGTTTTTTTTTCTCTCTTCAATGTTGTGGAGAGTCGAATTTAGTTAGTGACTTTCAATGGAATCTTACATGAATCTCCATTGCTGACCCAAACATGAGTGGTCATATTTGTAATGCTAGTCTTCTGGAATGGTTAAACCGTGTTGCTTGTCTGCATGAATCTTACTCTCCACGATTGTCTATTGGACTATATTCAGTTAGGGTCTTCACTGTTTGAAGGACTCCCTCAGGAAATTAGCCAGAGCCTGCTGCAACATAGAGGCGAGTGAAGCAGCGTAACAATTGCCTTCCGTTTTGGTTTGTTTTAGATGTTTACAGAGGATGTGACCAAAGAGACGCCAATGGAGGTCAAAGAAGTCCTCCACAAATGATAGAACATCGGATGCACGGATTATAATGCATGCTAGTCCAGCCTAGTGAGGATGGCAGCAGCATCATGAGGTGCCTCAACTGTTGGCCTCCTATCCTGAATAGAACAACAAATGAAATGAAATACCTGCCAGAATTTTCTGTTTCCCTCAATTCTTTGTCTACTTTCATCGATTTAGCCTGACCTTGTTCAATGCTGCCAGCCTATTGCAACTAAAATTTCATCCTGCTTCCGAGCACCACAACCACCACCAAGCATCCTCCTGGAAATGGCACAAGTTCAAGGTTCAGTTTTAAGAGGCCAAGTTGCAGAACGATGTGGTTAGGGATAAAATGTTGACAAGAAGAAGATTGGAAATTGTATCCCCACGCGCATTGCTTGGTTATGTAGGAGTAAGACAAAAAGAGAGTGGTTTTACACTTTAAATGGCTTCATTTGAGCCCTATGTGCAACTTGTAAGCCAACCTGAGGAGTTAATGATTTTTCTTCCTGAGTACACAGAAATTTGGTGAAATCCTTATCTGCAGTCTGATCGGCCAAATTCATAAGCATACTTTCAAGATCAGAAATATGCGATCAAGATACTACTGTGATTTGCATCATTGAATAGGTCTTCATGTTTTTTTAAGGAAATTAGGATGCAATTTCATCGTGTTGAAAATCCACTGTTGAACATCAAGCGTGTTCCAATTGCACTTTTGTCTTTCTTTTACCTTTCCGTTGTGATTTCAGAGACACAAATAAGTTAATACATATACTCAAGTCAACCACATGTCCATGGCATGAGAAAATTGATACAAGAACAATGAGTTGAAATAAGAATTGTATGTCGTGCCATCAAGTACAATGGGAAGAGAAATAACAGGTAAAGATGCAAATTTTTCTTGTTTGTTCTTTATCAACTTTGCTGTCAATAATTTCACATGTAAATAAATCATCGTTCCAGATTTATCATTTTGGAATCCAAACAGCAGAGATAAAGTTAGCCATCGTGTAGCATCAATGGTCCATAGGCTCGACTGCAGTTTTGAAGAGAAGGACGTAAACCTTGTCAATTGAAAAATACAAGAAGCCTCCCAGAGAATGTGTGACATATGAGCCGAAGCTGGTCCCTACGATGCAGTGCCAAGCCGGACCATATGATGAGTCAAATTCCTGTTAATCAAGCAGAAAAATCATCAGCTGTTTGTGTATTGTAGCTTAAGCAACAAGGTTTGCAATGGAGTTCTAAACAATCCTAACAATACCCTTTTCCAACAAGAACAAGCAGCACAGCAATTGCTGGTGTGATGGTATCCTAACAATTAATGAGAACTAAAGTTCTTAGTGCCAGCATGAAATATAGTTTGCAAGAATGAAAATTCAATGAACCAAAATCGATGTTGTAAAGTAATATAAACCGAATTTTCATTATGCAATAGAATATAAATAGCTAGATGTGCATAAGTGGAAGTGGACTGCTTGGTACTTGAATACAAAATCTCTCTATTGTTTATCAAGGTGGTTATGCCCAGTATATGCTAAATCAGTAGTCATGAAAAATATTTGGTAAAATAGTAGAAAGAACATTCACTAATCCATCCATGGAAGAACACAAATATATATATATATATATATATAAGACAGTAATTTTTGGTGATACAGTAAAAAATGAGTTTTTCAATTACAAATACCTAAGATGTGCAGAGCTTCTGCCCAGTTATTAAATTTTATGATGAGAATGAGTGGCATACACAATCACATCCGTTAAAAAACTATGTATAACTATTTGTTCCTTGTAGTAAATTTATATGTGTAACAAAATATCCTTTGGTTCAAATGAATGAGAATAAAATATAATCGCTTCTTTCTTCTTCGGTGTGGGAGTATAACTGTAGAAGTACAGCCTTACACCAACATGTCAAATCCCGTCTTTGCTTGAAATTTCCACAGATTCTTACAAGAAGGTGAAACAAAGAAAAGAAAAGGAAATAAAAAGAAAAAAGTTTGTATACAAAGTACAGAAGTGATACCAAAAACAGAGGCTACAGAATGATACCAAATGATAATTTTAGTGACACAATTATGACAGGGACTAGTATATATGAGACATCAGAGTATGATAACAAGGAGAAAAGAGGAAGATGAACAATCTACAAGTGTTCCCCAATTCGAGAGCATTTAGTTGCTAATAGAAGTCAATATCATATGTCACTAGGCCTTCCTAACAATGTTTGAGATGATTGTACTATAAAGCCACACAAAAACATAAAATCTTAACTAATTATGAAAACAAATTCCACAATATATGTGTGTGTGTGTGTGTGTTTGAAAAAATCATCTCCAAGCCAAAGCTTGGACTGAATTAATTAAACCATCCTAAACTTTTAAAGAATTTTGATCAAGAAAGATAACTCATAAGTAAAAGAGCTTTAGATAGCTAAATAAGGGGTAGTTAAATAAACCTATTAACCACCATAGGCTCTAAAAGCTTAAGATATTAGAGAGGGTGTAATGTTAATAATTATATTCTCTAACAGGCTCCTCAGGTGTGGTCTACCTTTTGTCCAACATGTGTTTTAACTTTTTATTATCACGGTGATGGCGAGGTTTAAATTTGAGACTTTTTACCTTTAATACCATGTTAACAACTATCCTATCTAAAAGATTAAGCTATTAGAGAGGGTGTCACTTCAATATTTATATCCTCTAACAAAATCATGAACTCAAGAGCGACATACAGCAAAATATTCTGGTTCATTGTCATGTCCACAAACATGATTATGAGGTTGTAGGTTTGTGGACGGGGGAAAGACCAAACTTCAACTTTCAAGGTAAAGAAATGCTGTTTCCATTCCACATTTAACCAAAATTTTAGTTAAATGAATTTGATGATTACCAAACAAGAAAAAGCTTTAAACTTTTAAAGCTTCAAACGGATCATGATTTTGATAACCATCTCATGGTAGCACATCAAAATTTCAACAATATCCTATAGTGTATCCACAATGACACTTCAAATAAATCATTCATATAAATTATGGTTATGATTATACAATGACAAGAACAACCACAACAACAAAAAATGGGAAATATTCACAGCTAAAACATTAAAAGACACAACAATGAAAGTGAAGAGAGAAAATTATTTTCAATCGAGTTAACACAAACAGAAAACTATCAATTGGACCACTTTTAGGTGAAGGTTACCGAAGAGCCTTCCCTGTAAACTCTAAACACTAACAATCTCAGATAAAAGTAAATATCACAATTGAGAAAGGTAAAGAATTTTCTTAGCTGAATCTAACACTAATGAACACTTGGACCACCTGCACACATACATATCTATTTCCATATATCTCTTTATATATTCAGTACCCTCATTCCAAACATTCAATTGAAATCCAAATACCCAAAATAAAAAAATCTCAACTGAGAAAGCTGAAAAAAGAGAAACCTTTTAAAGTCATGTCTTCCATACATAAACAATTGGACCACCTTTAAGAAGGAAGCCTAGTTTGCTAAAGATAGAGGAAATAAATTATTTGAGGTTAAGCAATCACAAATAGTAATAATAAATTGGACCACATACATATGGAGGTACTCAATACAATTTAATGTGCTCTAAACAATCAAATTTAAAAAGTGTGATCACAACTGATATAGAGGGGATGTTATCCATAAAAAAAAAAATTAAAAAAAAAAAAAAGAAAAGAAAAAACCTTCGATAAAGAAGTGAAAATTACATACAAGAACGATGAAAAAATAAGTATTTTTCGCTCAATCTTACACTACAGCACACTCGAACCACCTATAAACGAACTTACCCAAAGCTCTTTGCCTTTAAGATTCAAAATATACAATGCATTCAATATCATTCAAGTTAGAATATACTGTAATAAATTTTAACCACGGAAGACAAGAGAAAATAAAAACATTTCTTACTTAATTACCGAAAAAAAAAAAAAAACATTTCCAATACAGTCTGACACCAAATAACAATTGGACCACCTGTAGATAAATTTACAGCATACCATTTACAGAAACCATTCTGGTCATTAAGCCGTTATTCCATTTGTTCTAAACTTCTAATACATAGAAAGAAAGACTAGAATCGAAGGACACAAAGGGAAGGAAAAAAAAAAGAAGAAACCTACAAATTTACACAACATTCTTATTTGTAAAAATTCAAAATTGATTTATCTAAAAGGAATGAAAGTTCCAGCTCAATCTGGCTCAACAACAAAATTGGAGCACTTGTATAGAAAATTAATCAATACCCATTAAACAATTCGATCAATAATCCAAACCAAACCCTTTAAAAAAAAAAAGAAAAAAGAAAAAAAAAAAAAGGATAAAGATGACAAATGAGAGAGCAGAAAAGTCATGAAATTGGGTAGGAGTTACCTTCTTAAGGGCAAGAGCGAGGCTTTTACTGTCAAGCTTTGCAGGCGTGGAGTCAAGGTTGTCCCTGGCACACCTAAAGGCTCTGTTTTGCAGAGCCACGGGCATGTCAGAGGCTCGAACACGAATGTTGAGGCGTTCATGGTGTTCTTGATGCTCTGTAGATTTCTTCTTCTGTATCAGACTGTTCAAAAACTTGCTCCTCCTCTCTAACTCCTCCTCTGCTCCCTCCATCTTCTCATTCCTCTCTCATCTCTCTCTGTGAACTGCTTTTTGATCGGTGGCTACTGCTGGGTGTAGTACGAGAGAGACGATGTGAGAGAATGTAGAGAGAGAGAGAGAGAGAGAGAGAGAGTGGGGGAGAAGAGCAACAAGCCACCAACAAAAGTCTCGATTGTAATGTTAACTTTGGCTTTTCCTTTTCGAGCCTTTTATTTTTAACTTTCTCTTTTCAAAAAAAAGGAAATTTTGTCTATGAATGCGTTTTGTTTGCATTGACGAGGCTGTTGGGTACGGTGTAGCATATATATATATATATATATATGTATATGTATACGGGCTAAAGTCATAAAATACCCTTATTATTTTCAAAAACTATCAACGAACCACTTCAATTAAACAAACTATCATATTATCTTTGATATTTTAAAAAGTCTATCATATCACTCCTCACCGTTAATTTTTGGTCTAAAAGTAATAAGATTAAATCATGTTATTGTCGCGTGCATAATATTTTACTTTAACCTGACCATATTACCCTTTTAATCACCTAAAGACTAAATTGCCTTGTCTCAATCTAAATAATCTATCTTCTTCAACAACATTAGTGTTCAAACTCCATGTGTTTCAATGTGCATCAATAGTGACCAATGTGAGCTCCAAACAAACAACGCCAACCAAATTTCAGAGATTAGTCCGGCGATAATACAAGACCCAATTCGATAAAGCCCGAATAATCTCCACGGACGTGCATGAGCTTTTATTGGTGACCGAACCGAAAAGCTCACACCCAACAGCAACGATTCAAATGACCTCAACCCAGTAGCTTCCATTGATACTGGTGAGTTCCTTTTTTATCCGGTGCACTCATTTTCAAAGAGTCTCAGCAACTAAACCAGTGAGAAGGTTTGATTAAATAAAGACCCAATAGATTGCTTCAGTCCGACGACACCTCAAGCCCTCCTTGGCGAAACCCAGTTCAGTCCTGCGACGTCTCAAGCGACCTTGACCTAATTGCAGTAACCAATATCCGGTGAGCTTCTGAACAACAACAGAAACGAACGGATTCCCAAATCCATGCACTATCTCTGGTGAACAGATACAAAGTTGCAGACGTCCATCGGTCCATGCAAACTTCATAAACACTGGTAATATGAACTGAGCATCCAGCGAGCTAAACCCAATGACAAGTACCAAGTTGTTGCAAGACCCACATTGACGTACTCCATCAACAACCAAAACTAAAAGCTCCGTTAACAGGAAGATCGACGAGACTAGGGGTGGCAATTGGTTTTGGCGTGTCGTGTTCGTGTCGACATGATTACGGCAAGAACATGATTAGGGTCGACACGAACACGATACGATTATTAATCATGTTTAAGACCCTTGACACGAATACGACATGATTATTATACATGACACGACACGACACGCGTAAATTGTTTAATAAATGAGTCAAGACTTGACATGTCACGAAAAGACACATTTATGTCATTTTTTAGACGAACACGACATGTTTATTCTACACGTTTAGCTAAGTGAGTCATTTTTTATACAAACACGACACCTTTATCTGACATGTTTAGTTAATCGGATTAATCGTGTCATAATCGTGTTTATAGGATTAAACACGAACACGACACGTTTAGTTAGCGGGTCAATCCATGTCGACACGAACACGATTAGCTCAATCCCAAACCCTCTTATCTCGTGTCGTGTTAGTGTGTCAAATATTATCATCCTTAGGCGAGACCCAGTTCTGCGAGGCTTACCCATTTCAATCATCATCCAGCTAGCTATACTTCCATACATGCGCATTCGGTGAGCCTTGATACACCCAACGGAAAGCTTCTTCAAGAAACCCAACTTCGGCGAGCTTCATTCCAGTCCAGCCAAACAGTTTCTATGAACTACTTATATATATAGGCGATATTTGAAGAAACATTTCTTGGATTTTAGTTTGTTAATCCTTTTCAAAAGCTGTTATTCCAAGAATTGTTTGTTAATCCTTTTCAAAAGCTGTACCATTCACAAAGGATCATGGGCGATGGTATTTAATATGGCAATTAGGTACTAAGTTCATTCTTAGCCAAAATAATTCAAGAGTTATTGGCCTCTCTTATTGCAAGAAAAATTAATCAGGAAATTAGGTACTAAGTGCATTCAATTGTATCACAATTACTTACCTTTCTGACTTTTAACCACTGCCATCCTTTCATACACGAGTCTGCTTTCCACCGGTGATCTATTCCACCCAATAATATTCTATTCGTGACCTGTATTAGTTCATTTGGAAACAAACCACTAACAATCATAGCCCAACAACACCACTCCACTGGTCAAGTTGATTAGTTTCACAAGAAGGTCATTATTATCGTTTAAAATCAACATTTTCAGTTTAATAAAATATAAATATATTATCAAGGGCATTATTGTCATTTTACAACAAGTTAACTATCCTCCCACAAAAAGTGGATAATTAATTCAGGAATTTTTTTTAATAATTGAGAGAGTTATATGTTGTTTTTGTAAACAACAAAGGATTTATATGATTTTAACACACTCTCTCTCTCTCTCTCTATATATATATATATATAGATATATATAATTATAAATACTTCCTTAGTGTAGGACAAATCATAATGGATGGATGTTTCGCAATCCGACTTAAAAGTTTAATGTGTCAGGTTGGACTAATACCCAACTCATTCATACCCCTTTCACTTTTTATCGAGATCCAATGTAGAATAAGTCTCCTTTTGTAACAACTAGGTTAAGGACACTATAATTTTTTTTTAAGACTAGTAATAAATTAAATTTTTGATTTTTTCTTTCATTTAAGTTCGGAAGTACTAATAAACTTTCATTTATGTTTTTACTAAATAGAAGTAAATTTTTGCAATTAGGAATTATTCAAAAATTGGTATGTAATATAATTTCTCATATATTCCTTTCTATTCTATAATAATTAGAAAGCGTATCTATATATCAAGTATATATTAATTTATTAAATCACATATTTGGGTTTGAATATTTCTTACATATTTAAAAATTAGTATTAATGTCGAATAATTTATTTGACATCTCCAAAACAGTCTCTGTAAGACTTGTTATAAGTCTCACCATAAAAAAATCAAAATAAGGTTCTCAAAAGTGTCCTTTTTAGAAGCCAAGTGCATGTAAGACAAACTGATTCTAATGCGTGTTTAGTAGCTTTTTAATAATATTTCTGAAGTTGAACTTTCGAAGATACCACTATAAGTGTCATTATCAGCTTTATTTACTAATTTATTTATTTTTACTGATTATCATCCTTACTAATTACTAAAATTATTATATGAACGCACGTAGGGTTAGGGTTTAATCAAAGATTATCGGCTGCAAATCTCCTTTCAATTTAGAGTTTCATCACCATAAATATAAGAAGTAGGGCCCAATCTATTGGCCTTAGCAGACAAAGCAACGAAAATCACGGCAAAAGAAAATGTTTGTGGGCCACTTTCTTCATCAAAAATTCCTGAAAATGGGTCGGGTGTACTGGTAAAGTTCACAATTTGCTCCATCTGTCCAATACAACAGGTTTGGAGCACTTTGAACAATCAATCAATAGAGAGACAGAGAACCACCAGATCACTCTCTCCGTTTCATATTACTAGTTACCAACTTAAAAAATTTTAACTCATAATTTTTATAAATTAAAATTATTAAAATAGACCTGTAACGTAGGTATATTAAAAAAATATGACTAAAAATGACATCAAATAAAAAATAAAAAATGGTAGTGAATCAAAATTTTCGAAATTAATAACTATTATAGAACGGAGATAGTATATATATATATATATATATATATATATATTAGAGTACTACTATCGATTCCACATTCTCTGTCCCAAAATATTTGTTCAACGTGAGAATTGTAACTCCCAAATTGTGAGCCATTGAGTCACAATTCTCAATGTGAACAAGTATTTTGAAACCGTAAATTTTTTATCCATCTTTTTATTTTGAGATATCTCAAAATACATGTCCTGTTTAAAAATTAGATATACTATTTTTTTATATCATTCTCAAACTATCCCTTTTTATATTGACTAGTGCATTACAATACTCTTTTGTCTTTTAAGAAGGATAAACTTAAAAATTTACTCTTAACAACACAATAAAAAAATATTAAAATTCTACCACCATAAAAAGTGGGAGTATAATCCATTCAAAAAAATTTGTCACATAAAGAACGTTAGGGATATACTGTATATATTTTTTCTCAATTGGTAGTCACTCGCATATCTTCATTGGCACAGTCAAACTTTTGACCTCCCTTTAAAAAGTAAGAATTTGATACCTCCATTAATTTATTGGTATGTACCGTATGTTAGAGATATTATTAAATACACTCACTAAATCTCAAGATAGATCAAAATAATGACCCGAAAATCTCCTGCGGTGCTTAATTTGTCCTAACTTTAAAAAAAAAAAAAAAAAGGTACCCTGTACCTATCATAAAAGTTCAAACTACTCACTCGAATTACTCTGCATCAATTTTCATGTTGTATGATTTTAAGTGGTGGAATATCTTGTACTATCTTAGAGGAGTAACATCATCTTCTCATTCAGAGTATGCAATCAATATGAGATCATTGCGTGATTGAATGAATAAAGTTCCACAATTGTGAGAATGACATTTACCAAAAAAAAAAAAATCACACACCAAAGGAATTCCACAGAATTAAGAAAAATTTATATTTACATTCGGTTAGAAGTTTAAAAAAAGAAAGTAATTTATTTTAAAATTTTGTTTTTTACTTTGGTTAGACTAAATAAAATAATTATTTATGCATTGAGAATTACTATTCAGTTCAAAGTGTCCTACAAGATCTTATTTTAAAAAACCAAATTATCCTTCTTCAATTAAATAATCACTCAAAAAAAAAAAAAAAAAAAAAAAAAAGAAGAGAAAGGGTGAGGATAGAACTCACTGTAGAACTCCATTTAGATGAGTTTAATAAAGGAAGATACCAAAAGCTTGTAGAGAGATTGATGTATTTAGCACACACGAGATCGGATTTGGCTTATGCATCGAGCATTGTTAGCCAGTTTATGCATGATCCGGGAGAGCAACATATGAATGCAGTTATGTGCATTTTGAGGTATTTGAAACTGGAAAAGGAA